CAGCTCTCTATGCTTGAGAGTCTAATCAAATGATACCCATCAAGAACCAATATAGAATATATTATTACCTGCTTAGCATCATCCCTAAACTTGTCCTTTCCAACAGCCATTCCAACCAAACTAATGCACTCCATGGCTTTGGCACGAAGCATGCGATTAGTCTTGTCAGTTGCATTCACCAAAATAGCTTTCAAGTAAGGCATAACAGCATCATAGTATTTTTGGAAATGATCCTGCAATTCATACACTGTCAGATTAAATTAAGATTAATGAAAATACAGGCTGACAACCAAGAAAAAATTCTCTAGTACCTGCGACGAATCAGCAACTGATGCCAATGCTGTCAAAGCACCCTCCTGCACCATTTGCTTCCCATTCTGGATTGGAAATAAATGACAAATTAACACCATCATGCCAGCAAATGAATTAGGTATGTGGTTTTTATACCCATTGCTCCTAAGTAATTCATGTGCATGCAGTTTACGTACAAATAAGTATAAACAAGCAAGTATAGCTAATGCCAATTTTATACTGAGTGAACAACTGACGTTCAGAAAAACTAATACTCAACCTGGGTTTGCTCATTTGCAGTGCTTTGACACTTACATGCAGAGATAAATGCAGTGCATCCAATGCCTTTAATGGGGAATGATGATATACCTGTAACAGGACAAGCAATTTGGCCACCGTCCCATCCAAGTAAGGCAATAGGATGTCTGCAGTGCAATTTTCACTAAAATTTAGAATTGCCGAAGCAGCATGGGCCTGTAACAGAAACGTAACAAAGAATCAAACATGGTATTATTTTGTTGAGTCATAGAAGGAGGAATGTAGTAGATAAATTTAACTCAAATAATTACGGGAAACCATGAAACAAAACAATGATGACTACAACTGTACTGAAGATGATGATAACCACAACAAACTCCATTAACTCCTAAGCCATTGCTTGTAATCAAAAGAAGTGAAATACGAACAAAGAAGAAGCAATTCCAAGTCAAAAACACACAAAAACAAAAGGACTGAAGCCAAGACCAGTAGAAAAGGGTGAAGGTTCAAATCGAATTGTAGTCTTTTATGTCTCACATTCGTAATCTTAATATGCAGTGCTATTGTCTGCAGGACTACACATTGGCCCTCCTTTTCCCAAAGTCCCACTCCCATGTTCCAAGATCCCAAAGAAAAGTAAACACCCACCACACGTAGCAATAATAAAAATTGCAAAAGTAAATTCCCACATCAGTTTACAATACACAATGAAATAAGGCATACTTGGATGACATTGGAAAATTCATAGGCCTGTTCCGATTGTAGCTTATCGATTTGCAAGAATGAGACGTAGAATATACATCAAGAACAGAAAGGGACCAATCAAAGAAGGAAGGGAGAAAGGAACAACAGAAATGAATCAGTTTTGAGAATTTTTCTTTCCTAGGGTATGCCTAGTGCTTCCGGAAACATTTATGAAATATTACTGGGCTTATCAATGGTATAAACATTTGCAGTCGTATAATATGTATTATTCTTGCACAGTTACACTACTTGACAAGGTCACCAAGTAGCAAACCTCTTAAACCTGTAATACACAAAATAAAAAGTACAATCATTGAGTGTTCTTTTCTTTCATCACAGTTACAGACTAGAATCTGCACAAATGGGAGAACGCAAAGGTACACCTCCAATAGAATGACGGTTTTCCCTTTGAACAAAAGAAAATATATCAGGAAGGAAGAAGAAAAACGCTCATCTTTTCTTGTAAAAGAAAAGAACCAGAAGGTGGACTTGCTTATAAATGTTTGATGTCCATTAATCCATTAAGAAGGCCAACAGGTTGAGAGTACAAAAAAATCAAATCAAGCTAAAGCCAACTAACCTGTACTCTTGGATTCTGGAAGTCGTCCATGGCTGCAGCTAATGCAGGCAGCACCCGGTGATGATATTGGACTTGCAAGTCAGGACCCAGATCCGTAGATAATTGCCCAATTGCATTGACAGCTGCCCACCGCACGCGAGGATGTGGATCTTGAAATGAGTTCAAAACCATTGACACCACTTGTTCTAAATTTGTTATCATCACCTGTATCAACAATACATATAGAACAAATAATGTATTCAGAAAATCTTTAGCACAGAATGATGTTTTACAGTCAATCTATCATACTTAGTTCTTAACATTAGACTACAATGAAGAAAACAAGTAGAATAATTTTTGAAAGAAACCCATCATAAAACAAACATATTTAGTACAAGTAAACAATTCACATACAAGGACATCAAAAACACCATTGAGTAATATATCCAATAAATGTACAAAAGACCGAATACCAAGAGCAAAGCTCTGATACCTTTGAGCAACCCTCTGCAATCTGTGCAAGCGCAATGAGTGCTGCATGATGCTTTTGCCACTCAGGAGCAGCCAAATACACTGGCACCACCTCCGAAGCAACAGGCAAAATACTATTCCCACCCAACGAAATCGACAACCTATCCAAACACTCCTGTCCAAACCCATAATTACCTGTCTCCCCCGCATCCTCATCATCCTCATTATCCGCATTGTGCCACTTAGGATCATCCTCAATATCCTCCAACATCTTCATCAGAATTTCAAACAATTTTCTCACAAATTGAGGCATCTTCCTCACCATCCCTGGAGCTCTCTCCCTTGCCTCAGCCAATGTAACAACAAATTCAATGGCCAAATGCCTCGTACCCTCCTCCAAACTCTCAGCCCCCGCAATCTGCAACATTGTCCCCACAACCTCCACAATTTGCCTTCTCAAAAACCTCGGCTCCGTGCCCGCCAACTCAATCAACAACTCCAATGCTTCACTAGCCGCGGCCTCATTCCCACAATTCAAAGCCTCCGTCAACGTAGACATCATCAATGGCAACAAGTCCCGAAACTTGTCCAACACTCTCCCTTCTAAACACTGTATGAAATTAATAGCAGCCCCTAACGCCGCAATTCGAACATCCGAATCCATACCTGTTCCCAAACACTGCAATAGAACCGAATGCAAATTCTCCAGAGGTAAATTCAGTGTCTCCCCAATATACTGTGCCAATTGAGCAAAAATCAACAACGCACTCTCACGGTTCTTCATATTATCAGATGTTACACATTGAAACAAAAAGGGTAAGAAATCGGGCCATTGATTTTCGGGTAATAGAGAAGCCGCAAGCTCCGAGACAGTGTCGCACAATTTCTTATTGATTGATTTCGCTGTCTGGGTGACAATAGAATTCAACAGAGAGGATTTGAGAGTCAATTGGGTTTGAGGAGATAAAGAGGGGAAGAGGAAGGAATTGTCGTTGGTGTTGTTGGGTGTGAGGAGTTTGCGAAGGAGAACGGCGGACATGGCACGTGACTCGGGGTTTGGGGAGGAGGAGAGCACGTGACAGAGCTTGAGAGATAGGGTATCTGGGTGGGTTTGTTTGCAGAGGTTGAAGAGAGACTCGGCTTGGGATCGCTGATCGTTGGAAGTGGACATAAGGGTGGTGATTAGAACTTCGAATTGAGTTGCGTCGTGGCCGAGGACGGCGGCGAGTTGAGCGAGCTGGAACTGAGTTGGATCTGCCGCCATGGCTGAGTTCGAGAAGCGCAATTGGGGTTTTGGATAGGGGATAGAGTAGGAAGAGAGAGGCGCGAACTCTGTTTTTCTCACTGAAAATGCGAGCTAAGTTTTGGACCGAGAGAGAGAGAGAGAGAGAGGGAAGGCGCGAGGGTTTTAAGGGGACTTCAGATAATTGCGTTTGATTAGGGCTGATGTAATGATAGAGATATTAATGTTATATTTAATTTATTTTTATTGGTTATATACCAAAAATATCCTAATATTAAAATGTGGACGATATTTTTTAAAAAAATGTTATTTGTACAGAAAAAAATATTGACACAAATTGTAATCATTAAATAGATAATTGGCCTCAATAAATATTAAAATAAAGTTAAATCAATGATAATGATATTAGGAATTGATAAATGCCAATATTTTTTATCCAATAAACGTTGCTCTATATTTTATGTGAAACAATGGATCGAAGAACAAAATACATCAAAGTTACAATAACGTAAAAAATCAACCCCAAGAGCAATAGACAACTTTCTAGTCGAAAGTTTTAACGATGGGTAGGGGTGTCCACGGGCTGAATCGAAATCAGCCTAAGAAATTTGTTTAGGCTTGGGCATGAGTATCATAGGTCCAAGAACTTATTCGAATAACCATAGAGTGTTAGATAAGTTGGTGATGGATTGTTTTAGTTTAATCAAAGTCTCGAGTTCGAGTCTTGGGAACGCAGCTGCGTTCGATAAGGAGAGTTTTGCCGCCCTTGTGGTCTTACTAGGCTCGAATCCGGATTAATCGGAGCTCAAAGTAACTTTCAGATACCGAATGCTCTCACCAAAAAAAAAAAAGATCTTATTCAAATGAGTTTATCGGTGCAGATCGAGAGGGACTTCGAACAGAAATAGGTTTTCGCAATCCAACTCGTCATTCACTTGATGGACCTACAAGAGGTACAGTTGGGAGGGCCTATGGGCGTGGGCCTATTGAACGGACTTTTTATATACAACTTCATTTACAAATAAAGAATATTTTTGTAGATTAATATTTTTGTAAATTATATTTTTGAATTAAAAATAGAGTTAGAATTGATAAAAAAAACAAATAAAAATAATTTTAGTTATAAATAAGAGGAGGAACTGCATCACAATAGAATAAACACATTCCAACTAAGTTGACACCTACCCATCTATCTATCATTTGCATAAACTCTACCCTTTAAAGCATGTATGATTAACACATGAAACAAAAAAATACATTATTTATAATATCTAAATTTTTAAAATTTTAAATTTCGATATTGAGAGATTTATTTTCATGTTTTGACTGATCTAGGACGGGCCCATTGGGCTGGGCTAGACGGACGAGTTCTTGGGCTGAGTTTTAATTGGACGAATTATTGGGCCAAGTAATGAGCTTGGGGATAGGTCTAAGCTATATCTTGAAACATATTAAGCTCGTGGGCAATTATTAGGTCTATTTACTTTTGGGCCTATTTTTACAAGATCCGTGGCGTGGGCAATTGTTGGTTAAACATTATAGAAATAAACTTGACTCTAGAGAAGATATAGCAAAACTGCTAAATTCATCAAAAAAAAAAAAAATTCAAAGTTTTTATATTAAATTATTGTTAATTATTAGATTAATAAGTTTCATAAATTTTTATTAATCATTTCATAACTATCAATAAATTACATCATTGAGATCTAAACTTAATAAATATTTTGGTGGACCTACATTTCCCTTGTACTCAAAAGCTACCCAAAATGCACAACACAATGATGACCATGATTTTGGCGGGGAAGCGAAATAACCTGTCAGAAAAACAAATCGTAAAGGGTACCGAGGACAAAAATTGGGCATTTAATAGAAAGTTTCTTTATGCCACGTTTTTATATGCTGATGGCCCATTTGTGTCAAATTTTCACAATATTATACTTGAAATACGCTCGCACCCCCCTTCAATTGAGATATTCTCTAATATATTTTTTTTTCAATTCTATCACTTCTCATGCATTCAGGTGAGTTTCATTATATACAAGTGAATTTGCACAAAAAATTATTGACAAGTGAGCCTCACTCAATAATTTCTCCTATCGGGACACTCTCGTCTCCTTAAAAGTTCGAGTAAATATTCAATATAATGATGATTACATCACCTCAGAAGTGTATGAGATGGTACTGTCCAACAAAAAAATTAAAAATAAATGAAGTGAATCTCATTGTTTTACATGGGAGAGTGATCGTCTTCCGTGTGGATGGATGGTTGGTTATTGAATTTGGTAAGGTTTATTTACCCATTTGTTCACTGATTAGTGAATTATTATATCATGTAATACTGTTGACGTTGTGTAATCATGATACTAAATATTTTACTCAAAAGTCCAATGTCATCTTGGAAATTTTGAAAAGTCACCGTGCAATTTTCAAATAATTTCAGGAGTCGAGTGTAATTTTAATCCTTTGTTTTTTGGTGGTTTTAATGTTTGCTCAGTTTTTGGCACAAATCCATGTGGGATTTTGCATTGTCTTGTGTTTTGCTAAAAGCAATAAAGTTAGGCATATCATATGCTCCACGCGCATTCGTCCCAAGTAATCATGAAAGGTGTTCACAAACCATCACCACACACGGATGTGAATGGATTTGAATCCTCAGAATTCACATTCACTGAAAAAAAAAAAAAAGATTTGGCTAAAAATTATATTTTAATCATTTTTGAAGCTTGGAATTTAATTTTATAAATCATATTGAAGATTGTATAAAGTTCAATAAATTGTATAAATTATTGTCCTATTTCTATTAATTGTAAAAAAAATAAAATTAGTTTGTTGAAATATTTGTGTCCACCCTGACATGACTTTCTGGCTCTGCCCCTAACCGAGCCCGAGCATTTGTACATAAATAAGTCGAATCTGTCAAGTTCGAGTCAATCCTATCGAGCTTGTTTTCTAAACGAACTTATAAAATTGTTCAAATTCGGATTGTTTAAAAAACAAGTTGAGCTTGAACAAGCTAAAAACGAGCCGAACTTGAGCCGAGCTCGAGTAACTCAACTTGAACGAATCCTGAACGAGTTGAACCCGAGCCAAGCCAGAATATTTGCACATAAAGGAGTCGAGTCTGTCAAGTTTGTTTTCAAAACGAGCCTACAAAATTGTTCAAATTTGATTCGTTTAAAAAATGAACCAAGCTTGAACAAGTGAAAAATGAGCCAAACTCGAGTAAATTGATTAATAACCCTATCTGTAAGTTTAAAATTTATACAATTATGTACAAATCATACACACGGATTAATGAGGACATCTTTTATAATACTCAAAACTTAAGAACTCGTGGTGTTGACCTTTGAAAACAATGTCACCAGAGGTATTCTGACTGATTGAGTTGGTTCTATTTTTGACAATCACACGGTCACGGATGGTAGTTTTTTTGTTTTTGTTTCGATGAGAACACGAATGCCAGTTTAAAAGCTATGAAATTGTGGTCAATAACAGTGTGAAAGTGTAGAGCATGCATGCTTCAAAAGTTGGGACATTGATTTAGATTTCTTTCATACCATTATTCAAAACACTCAAGTGCTTTTCTTCGTTGGATACCTTTTACTGGTTTTTGATGCTATTTCCAACCTGAAATGAATAGATGAAGTGGCTGCGACAGATTTGGGGTACACATTGTTGCCCATAAAGCCTAAGAAGATCCGGTTTTTGTTTAGCCTAAAGAATTGAGGACCAAACTGTCACACAAAGGAGCATCTATGGGTGGGCACTTTAATAATTCAATTTTTTTAAAAAAACTCGATTAGGGTCGGCCCAACCTTAAAGCTGATAAAATCTCGGTTTTAGGCCCATATTTTTAGACGACGAAGGGAAAATTGAGAGGGGTATACTCCAGGGAACTTAATTGTTTTAAAGTATATGACTCAGACTTTTCAGTCAATAAGTCTATTTGGAAAACAAATGTCTAATATACCCATAACAACAAAATAAATGCTCTCACAAAACCAATTAAGAAACCATAGAAAAAAGTTTAGAGAGAGAGATAAATAATCTTAATTTTAAATTTTTTTACAATTAAAGAGTTTAAATTCAAACTCTACCTGCGCGTGTGTTGTGTGTGTGTATATATATCAAGAATTCAAGTGCATCATAATATATATTGAAAATTGGAAGCCAGTAGTATACCATTTCAATCTGTTTTGTACACAAATATTTTAAATCATTAAAGATATATAATTGCAATATATGAGTCATGTGGTCCACACATGTCGACTTGTATATTTTTAATGACAAGAATATCATTTTCTTCATTAACTCATTTGACTTTCTCTTCTGTCTATTATATTCTTTCTCTTCTATTTCTTTCGTCTCATTATTCTCATTCTCTCTGTCTCATTGTTTCTCCCTCCTCTATCCCTTCATTTAATTTTTCTCTCCTCTTTCTTTCTTCAATTTCTTTATCTTCTCTCTTCATTCAATTATTCTCTCTCCTCTATCTCATTGGTCCTATTCTTTTTCTCTCATGTCTCTTTCATTTAATTTATTTTTCCTCTCTTTCTTCAATTTCTTTATCAGCTCTATTTCGTTATTTTCTTTCTATACTTTTTAAAATTTATCTCTTATTCTTTTTCGATAGTGATACTGTCATTATCACTGTGTTATTTTCATCATCTCATGAAAGTGAGTGGCACTATCCCCGTGATATTTTTCACTATCTAGTGGCACTGTAACACTGTTATTGTGGTATTTTTACTATCCCACCACAGTAATAATGCCTCCATAGGACAATGACAATTATATATATTTATGTGTTATATATATTTGAATTCTAAAAGATACATCCCACTCATTTTCTCTCATCTCTCTTCCATCCCACTTATTTTCTCTCCTCTCTCTTCTAAAATGTGAATTGGAAATCGTGTCTACACTTGTATGTCTTTTATAATAAATTGTTCATAATGCCCCCTAAGTTCGCTCTTTATATCATAGTGGACCGGCCACCAAAACCCCCCAAATTTAAACCCATAAAACTTGATTCCAGCAAAAAACCAAAATAAAATTCCAACTAACAAAAAAATTCATGGGCCCAAAAGTCCAGCCCAATGAT